TATTGGTGCCTTCAACATGCAACAATGAGGCTAGGTATTGTTAAACAGGTAGAAGGCGGTGCAATCTTTATCGTGTTTCACCGTACAATCTTTCTGATAGCAGTGTGACCCTAATATAGGAAATAACTGATAAAACGTGCATTGAATTTTAAGTGGGACGTCAACTATGTCAGGGAAACATTGATAGCTATCTTAGTAATTGTAGTAACTGAGACAAGGGAAGATGCAAGTGGACCAGCCACCATAGTTAGTTGTTTTGGAGTATTAATCCAAGGTGAGTGATGATTACGAGTCATGCAATAACTTCTGTCATTAGCATCATGATCAAATTACCACTTACATAGTCGTTTCTATTACAATACCTGAAAGTAACCCCTTAGCAGAAATGCACTTTTGGAATCGAGATGTCGGTGACGTAAACGGTTCGACGTAGTTTCTTGTTGGTATACTGGTCACTAGACACTAGAATACTGCAGGACACAGCTAACTTCAGACAACATCAGCAGGGCTAATGTATGGTATACAGAGATAGCGGTTAATCTGTACTACTTGTTCCGGGAATGTCTTTAATATCCCTTTTGTGGAATGAAGCACTTTACTGAGTAAACTGCATTCAGTCCTTCGTTTGGACATTTTTGTGAGGATTTTGATATTGTTATTGCCTGGTATGTAAATTACTCACCCATCAGTGTCAAACAAAACTGTATGTGCCTCTTAATTTATATATCCATATTATTTACTCTTCCGTTTCCTTCACTTACAATTACCATACTTTTTAACGGCATATTTCAAACCCTTGGAATATTTAGATCTCAGCCACGGTATGGTATCACGGGGTAAATAGACATTTTGAAAAAAATAAAAGCATAAGGTGTGTGTTGACGGATACACTGACATCCATACCATCTATCTAGTATACACTATAATGACCATCCTTCTCATCCGATGCTGCCTCAGCAGAACAGCACTGGACCTGCTTCTTCTCAAAGAGGCCACATATTTGCCAAAATAGACAGCACATCTGTGCAAGCATTTGTTTCGGATGTATTTGTAAAGCACGGCGAATTATAATATAGTTTTATAAATCATAATTTTCATTTAAACATTCAAAATCGGTCACTGGGTCAGGAGTGTATACTTTTCATTAATGCTTATTTTGCTAAATTTTTAATGGGTTGTATTTAACGTGTGTTGTTATTTGAATGTCTATCCGGTGTGTTTTATTGCTTGTTTCTTCTGGAGTCGTTTAGTGACAGAATTTGTCGGCTGGCCCTCTTAGCTTAAATATTCCTTTGTTTTATAAACACGATATATATCTTGTAAGTTATTACGTCCTCCAAAAGCTGTTATGAAATATCCACTGAAGAACTCTATGAAAGACAGCCGGAAGTAAAGAATATCTCAATTTGCAGAATTAGATATAATGAAATAATGATTTGAAATAGGAAAAATAGAAGCAGCAGCAAAGAATGACTGATTTCCTCTATACTGACTTGTCCTCTTATCTGTTTAAATATCATCATACTTCTCATCATTCTCAATTCAGTTGTAAAGTTAAACGATTAAGATATCTTCAGGAAAATTGCTCGCCATCAATGGCAAGAGAACTTCCAGGTCTATATTTCTGCATATACGACAATAGCGGTAACATAAAGGGGGGCTTTATCTAAATCATTGTTCTTTATAGTTGTACCTGCTGATCAAGCCATATACAACATTACGTCGCCCCCAGAGTCTTCAGGGAAAGACGTTAGAGGTGAATATTGTGTCAACAACATCTTTACAGTGTCTCGAAGTGCCTGGCAAAAATAACTGAAACGATATGATGGAGAATTCGTTAAGGAGAGAATTAGAACTAACGCAAAAAGATGGAATTTCCAAGAGAGAACGTGAACTAATGCGAAGAGAGGATAACATTTCTAATAGAGAACGTGAACTAATGCAAAGAGAGGATAACATTTCTGAAAGAGAACGTGAACTAATGCAAAGAGAGGATAACATTTCTGAAAGAGAACGTGAACTAATGCAAAGAGAGGATAACATTTCTGAAAGAGAACGTGAACTAATGCAAAGAGAGGATAACATTTCTAAAAGAGAACGTGAACTAATGCAAAGAGAGGATAACATTTCTAAAAGAGAACGTGAAATAAAAAAGACAGAATTAAAGCTAAATCGGAGAGAAGATGGTTTTACAAGTAGAGAATTACAACTTTCGCGAAGAGAAGATGAAGATTCCAGGGGAGAAGTAGAATTATTGCGAAGAAGAAGAGATGAAAATTCATCGAAAGATTTATTACTTTCGCGAGAGGATAACATACCAAGACATAAAGATGTCCTTTTATCTAGACAGCGTATCATTACTGTGAATAAAACTCATATTCATGTAGGCGATATTGTAAAAAATCACCAGCACATCAATATATCTAAATGTAAGACTCTACAGATGCGAACCGGAATGGTAGAAGACGATGAAAGAATTGGAAGCAATGATTCTGCATGAGCAAATTCACCGGGTAACAAGCTGATTATCAGTTTATTAGTTATATATCCATACAACACACAACCCATAGATATATGAATTTCATGACCGTTGATTTCTTTCATACTGTTATATATCATATCATATGTACGCCATTATTGTTTGTTAGGATTTATCATATTTTCTACATAGTAAACGGCAGATAAAATCAACTGTTCATGAGAATATCTATTGAATGACTGCATTAGAATTGTAACTGTTGTTGTATTTCTTACTTAAATTGCAATTGTATTTATTACATAGACACTAATTCATAAAAAATGTGGTTTAAACGGAACACAACTCGCTATTTTCTTCAAATTTGCTATTGAAAATAAAGATATTTTTCTTATTATCTAAACCTAGTGTTTGTTAAATATACTCAAGATCCTAATATGTAGGTTGCTTGTTATAACTCTTTAATCTTTTCTCTGATGACCCCAATGTCCTGGGCTACTTGTCTGAGGCCTAGTCTATATACACACTGTTCGACGGAAACCTGTCGGTCGGAGGGGATTTGAGGTCGTGGCTTAACACTACTTAGTTAATTGTCAATGCACAATTGGTAAGACATACTGATGGCCAGTAATACCAATATTACATAAATGAATGGACTATCGGCTCATATTTAATACATTTTTGCAAAACAATCAGTGTTTTTGTCGCCTAAAAATCAAAGTCAGATAAAAATGAAACCATCAAACAAATAGAGGTGTAGAGTCTTGCCGATTCCCTTAAGACACAAGAGAAATGTTTTACATTCTATTGATTTCCTTCACTAAACGTAAATAGTTGATAAATAAATAAATATTTAAAGTGATGTCTACAGGGTGATGATTGAGGCCTGCCTGATTGTGATGATGATGATGATGATGATGATGATGATGAGGCCTATAACAGGATAATGAGTACGGTGTGCAAGTGTCAGAGTAAGTGTGTCTGTATGATGTTGCATGTATGACTTGTCATTTATCTGTTATTGTTTTAATTGGCAAAAATGAATGAAAAATAAAAAAAGAATTACAAAAAAAAAAAAAAAAAAAAAATATTTGAAAGGCGTTTTCTTTAAACATATATAAAGATCAATAGATAGTGCGTTCTTCTATCTTCGTTGATAATTGATTGCAAATATTTCATACGGAATATTTAGCACTATCCTAAGAATGCAAGTAATTTTGTGTAGTTTTGTTTATGTAGGCTACATACCTTGATCTTTTTGTATACAAATTTCTATGATATATCTACTAAAAGGAAGTATTTTCTATCGTTCTTCTGTTTCATATTTTAAGCATGTGCTTTCTTCTGGTCATGTATTATACATTTAATGTCCCGCATTGAAAGATCGGGGGCATATTGCTTTTGTGTTGTCTGTTTCTCTGTTGTCAACTTTAACACTGCCCAAAATTATTGCACCGTAAGAGGTAGAGCTTTCATATTTGGCATGTATGTCCCATGTGATCAGAGCCTGTGACCTTGACCATGCTATTAGCACATGCCGTAGTTAAGTTTTGATGTGCCACCTCAGACATTTGTTGCAACCGCGTGCATAGTGTTTCATAAACACATCTTGTCTTCTTTTACAAACACTATTTATCGTTTTGGATTGAAAGGATACCGGCATTAAAACGCTAAATGGAAATGAGGTACTCCAATGTTGCTGACAAGTTTACGTTTTCAAAAAAAAAACTGTGATCAAATCTCTGTGTACTTGAGTTTAAATCTATATATAAATATGTATTTCAGTTCAGATATGAACATTCGTTGATTTCGTTATCTGCTGTTGTATTTGTGATGATTAGACATGACAAATATAAGCGTTGCTCGATGGACTTGATGCACTCTGCGTTTATTTATTAAACCAAATCATTATCAGAACAAAATAAATAATTCGTGGAACAGTTAGATAGCTATATTAGGTACAACAGACATGTGAAGGCGCTACAACAGACCGCAGTTTTCACCACAGGTAAGAAAACATCGACCTCTGTTGAAAGATATTGATGAAAATTTGAACAGACGTATATTTAATTACCTTTGTTTTATTGAAGTTGCTGTTTTTCTCTCTCCATGTGTTAAGCATGACATTGTACACTTTTAAGCTTTCCAAGGAGACGGACAGAAATTTTACCTTTCCTCTTTGTCTTCTTAGCGAAAGACATAACCTAAATTTACCAGTGTGTATTGTGGGACATTCGTCGATAAATGCTTCCAATCTATCAGTAAAAATCTCGTACTTAGATCGAAATCTGATTCATATAAGAGTGTCTTATAATCAATTATGTATCATATTTGTGAACAACATACTATTTATCTGTGACGTTTAAGTGAAGGAATATCAGTTGATTTAGAAGTCATATATATATATAAACATTTAGATAAACTGCAGTAACGACAGTGGTTATCTTTAAGCTGTAAACAAGAATGCAAAATATTCATAAAAAAAAGAATGATTTTAGATTTGTTTTCAGTGCTTACTTCCAAAATGGCTACAGGGAAATCTGTTTCTAACAATCCTCTGATGAGGAGTATCTCAACGGAAAGTGGTGCTTCATCAAGACGTTCAAGTTCATTTTCCTGTATAAGTACAGACGACAACAGCGATGACACCATGGACAGGACAAATGAGGAAAAGAGAAAAGCGAAGAAAAAAAGTCACACACTTTTCCGGAAAGCTCATAGTGAAACAAAAGATAAAAACGCGGTAGGTAAACATCAGCGTGATTCTTCCAAGCTTAAACGTCGATTAAGAAACTTTTTTAAAACAAAGAGGAAATCAGATCATTTCAATGTTTCCTTTTCACACACAGACGATATTGATAGTTGTGATACTGTTGACACTGAAAGGCATGTGCAACAGAAAGGTATACAAGATAATACCCAACCGGATTTCATTAATGATTTTTCACAACGCCATTCAAAGATTGGTGATAATACTTCAAATGGGCTCACTGTAGAAAGCTGCGAGAACGATGAATTGCGACTCATAACAAACAAAAAGGAAGAGGAAATGAATGAGAAACAAAAATATCGATTAGACAACAGCTTAAAGTCAGTTTCAAAGAAAGAATCAGAGCTTTCGAGAAGGGATGAGGATTTTTTGAGGAAGGAAAATGATCTTTTATCCAACGCCATAAAAACTTTGAATGAAATGGCTGCTGTCCTTAGCGATATTGTGCACACTCCACTATACGTTGAAATATCTGAATGCAAGACTGTTCAGATAGGAACTGGAAGCGAGGATGTCCAACAGAATTTGCAACAAGTTCGCAAAATGCTGGACAGTATATGTGCAAAGTATGACGATATCAAGGTAAAAACATATGCGACAACCAATAACCAACAACTTATAGCAATAATTTATTGTATACATGGTTAAATCAATATACATCAATGTTGGCTTTTCCTGGCGTCCCACAACATCTCAATATTACGTTCCTTGCTTTACATTTGCGAAATTTTGCTGCATTCATATATTACATAATTGCCATTAATTTACCATAATTAGATGAGATTATAGTAAACATCAAAATATTTTGCAGTATCATTTAACATACATCATAATTTCGATTTGCAGCATACGACGGAGGCAACACTAAATAGTGTGAAAAAACTACAAAATGAGTCTTCGGGTCACAAAAAGCAGTTGCACAAACTAGCTGAATTTCTTGAATCAAACCTGAGACGTCATACATCTGCTGAGGAGCCAGAACACTTAACAAAATCTACAAACAATACACAAAATCAAGTGCCTTCTTGTGATCGGTGTAACCCTGCTAGTCCGAAACCTTCTGGTAATATATGGGGACCGTCTACCGTTCATGATTTTGTTGTCAGCTCACATGTAACTATAGATAAAAACGTGAAACAGGTGATGGCAGATGTTCAGTTGATCAAAAACAGTTTATTGTCAGAACACCAAAGTACATATATGTGAACAATACTACCTTTTTAAAACAAAAACGGAAAGAATTACCTGGAAAAAGTAGCAATAAGAGACTGTTGAGAAGTGTTCCGAAACACTAGACACTAAACACAGAAAAAAAATCAGTATCAACTTTTTTCTATGAAATTATTGATGATTCATTATGAGATATCATAGCTGTGTAATGGTTGAGCAGATGTACATTTTTCCCTCGGCTTGGCGATTTGGTCCCGTAGATAGTGAGTTCGAGGCCTGGACAGGACACAAGTCAAAAATTATCTTCCTTCGTCAAACCTGTCATTAGGTACAAAATATCAATACATCATATGCGATAAAGTTGTTGATTCTAAGTCTCACTTAGTGTAAAATGCACACCTTGATCCCTGTTCTTTCAAGTTTGTTCATCAAAAATCTTAAAACAATGATATCTTAAGATAGAAATGATAGAAAATGTACAACAGTTGGATTATACGATCATACCAAAACAAATATTTCGTTTGAAATATCGGAGACAAATCCCTGAATTGTGATTGATATATATCTAAAGGGAAATAACTCAAATATAAGTGTTATGTGTGTAGATTTACTCGGCAATTATTTCACGCATCGTGATCGTGAGGTCAGATTTGTCTATATGGTAAGATAATGGGAATACACCACAACGGTGGTGAAATCATCAATATTCGGAAAGTTTATGATATATATCAGTATCCTTTACAAGTTGTATGGTTTCGTGCACTAAATTCTGTACCAAAAACAACCAAGTAAAGTGTATGTAGTGGTGATATTCCAAATGGCTGATATCAAGGTTACAGAATAAAGTTGTACGTTACACCCACTGATTAGACATGACTGAGATCTAATTTCCAACGTCACAAAATAGTTGGCACAATGCCAGATTCTAAATAAAGAATGATCAAGGTTAATGAGATGACGTTCCCCTTCATATTCGTAGAAACAGATTTCGATGTAATATGACGTATGTAATGAGCTCACTTACCGATATAGATTTGTAAAATCGTTCTTAACAGTAAATGTTGTCACATACAAAGAACCACACCATGTCTTGTTACAACAACATTCTATTCAGCCAGACGCTTGACATACATATTAACAATTACAAACACAGATGAGACCAAGACTAACGGGTAACACTATTGACCTGAACATGGACGTTAAATGTGATTACACGACATCTCTCTTTTTTTTCTTTTTAACTGAAAGATCTTTAACACTATAACACTAATAATAAAATGAGTTATATTTACCATATCAATAGTGTTTGTTATTTCTTATCATTTAGCACAGTTCTCAGACCAAAAGTCTTTTCATAAAAGCAATACAACGGTTGTATTTCTTGTAAATGATAAGAACTATTTTATATTGAATGATATCCAAATAAATCACAATGTTCTTGAACTTCGTCAATGAGTAGGATAACATTAACAAACCAAAGAATAGATCAAAGAACATATGATAATAGAACGCGTATTGGAACACGTTACGGAACACATCAGGGAACACTTGGAACACATCCTGCCAGGAAATCACAACTAAATATTGTTTTGACTAGAACTATAACTGTTTAAGCTTTGTATATGTTAATATTCACTGGAACCGACTTGGTTTCCGAACTTCGCGACCTGATTTAGTTTTATATGGACTTTTGACTAAATCACGAGGCTTATCCTCAGGACTGACAGTTGGTACACATGCAGGTTGTGACTTGAGGTCAACCACGGAGTGTATTGTTGGACTTTGAACTGCAGGACTTGTGATCTCCAGCTTTATATCCTCATCATCCAGTGTAGGTAAGGACTTTGTTACTTTGAGATGCTTCCTGTTCCTTCTGTATTTCTTTCCATCTGATGTCTGTACTACATTGGATCTAGGTGTCTGGTGTTTATCAACTACAGTGCTGTGCGTCCATGTTCTTTCATTACCTGTTTTCATCATGACAGTGTCATTCTCTTGTAATGGTTTGCGACCTTTTGTTGCATGTCTATTAAAATAATTTCTTTGTCGAAATTGTCTTAACTTTAAACTGTCCTGAATCTCGTCTGACGCTCATGGTTTCAACAATGGGGTTGCTGTTGGTAGGGTGGTCTTAAGTCGCCTTCCCATGAATATTTGTGCAGGTGAAAGGTCAATTCCATCGATCGGTGAGTTTCGATAATCGAGTATTGCTAGGTATGGGTCATTTGCCTTCTTCAGTAGTCCCTTTACTGTCTGTACCATTCTTTCCGCTTGGCCATTTGATGAGGGGTAATGTGGACTCGTGGTAGTGAGTTGAAAACCGTAGTCTTTTGAGAATTTGGTAAATTCCCGACTCGCAAACTGTGGTCCGTTGTCACTTATGACTTGGTCTGGAATTCCATAGTTGGAAAACTGGCTCTTTACATGGTTAATGACAGAGCTTCTTGTCAGTCCTTGTAATTTTGAGATTTCAGGCCACTTTGAAAAATAGTCTACGCTAAGCAGGTAATGTTGCCCCTTAAGTTCAAATAGATCCATTGCCACTTTAGCCCATGGTCGGTTTGGTATGTCGTGGGGTATAAGTGGTTCCTTTGCGTTGCTGTTTGTGTGTCTAGCACAAATGTTGCATGTGGCAACCTTCTCTTCTATATCAGTACTCATTCCTGGCCAAAATAGTACTTCCCTCGCGCGTGCCTTACATTTGACCATACTAAGATGCGCCTCATGTATCCGGTCAAGCATTTCTGGTCGCAGAGACTTTGGAATGATCAGTTTGTGTACTTTGAACATCAATCCATCAATGCAGGTAATTTCGTCGCGATAATTCCAGTATGTCTGAATTTGTTGATCAACTTCCTGTTTGGTTTCCGGCCAACCAGTCATTATTTGTTGTCTCAGCCTTGACATCTCTAGGTCATTCTCTGTACCTTCTTTGATAGTTTTGTACTTTTCTGATGAGACCGTTAAATATGCCAACAAATAGAGTTCATTGACAGCAAGATCCTCTACTAAAGTTTCCTCTGTTTCCTCTAGGAATGCCCTTGACAGTGTGTCAGCTACATATAACAATTTGCCTGGTTTATAGGTCACCTCCAGGTCATACTTTTGGAGTGTGAGCACAGTTTCTGAAGTCGAGCAGGTACTTTATACATAGACTTCTTAAATATGCTCTGTAACGGTTTGTGGTCAGATTCCACTTGAACTTTCCTCCCATAAAGGTATTGATGGAATTTTGTGCATCCGTACACTATTGCGAGAGTCTCTTTCTCTATCTGTGAGTAGCGTTCCTAAGTAGGAGTTAGTGCCCTTGATGCATATGCAATAGGTTTACCGTCCTGTATGATTGCTGCACCCATTCCTTTTGAGCTACTATCCACTGTCATTACAATCGGTTTGTTTGTGTCAAAGTATGTCAACACTGGTGCCTTGGTCACCATCAGCTTCAATTTATTGAAACTTTTTTCCTGTTGGGCTCTCCATTCCCAATGTGTTCTTTCCCAGGAGTTGTCTTAGTGGTGCGGCTACCTCAGACAAGTTTGGCAGGAGTTTTGCTAGATATTGTACAAATCCTAAGAAGGTCATCAGTTCCTTTTGATTCTGTGGTGCCTTCATTCCTTTAACCGCTCTAACCTTGTCAGGGTGTGGTCTAAGTCCATCCTTGCTAAGGACGTGGCCAACATATGTCACTTCCTGTCTCCCAAACTGACATTTATCAGCATTTAATTTGAGGTTATAAGCTTTGAAGGACTTCTTGTAGCCTTCTGTCATGTTCCTCGACTGACTTTCCCCAGACTAAAATGTCATCTACTATAGCTTCTGCGCCATCAATGTCTTCCACCATGTTTGACATTACTGACTGAAAAACTTCGGGTGCAGAGTTCAATCCAAATGGCATGCGGAGAAATCTATAGCGTCCAAATGGTGTGTTGAATGTACATAGCTTTGAACTGGGCTCGTCAAGTTGTAATTGCCAAAACCCAGACGTAGCATCCAGTTTGGAGAAATATTTGGCTTCCGGAATCCATGCTACTATTTCCTCAATGGTCAACATAGGATAGTGTTGTCTCTTGATAGCTGTATTCAAATCTCTTGGGTCCAGACATATTCTGATTTTACCATTTGGCTTGGTAACCGTTACCATGCTATTAACCCAGTCTGTAGGTCCTTTCTCAAGCACAATTATGCCATTTTTTCCCATTTGTGCCAATTCCAGTTTTACCTTGTCCCTTAATGCCACCGGCACTTTTCTCGGAGGGGGTGGGGGGGGGGGGGGGGGGTGGGGGGGGGGGGGGGGGGGTGTGTATCACCGGCTGTTGTACTGTACTGTTAATATGTATTGTGTGATATCCTGGTAGACAGCCTACTCCACTAAATAGTTCGCTGTACTCTTCTTTTAGCTTTTCGTAGCGTACTTGACTATCATTGTTTGTAGAGCTTCTGTTCAGCCCAAATAAGCGTTTCACCAGTCCAATCGACATAGCGCTCTCTGCTCCTATGATTGTAGGGGCTGTTTTCTCAATTACTTGAAATTGTATCACATGATTGTTGTTGTCCTTGAAATTACATTGAAGCTTCACAGTTCCAATTGATTTAATTGCATGACCACTATACGACCTCAGCATGGCTTCAGATTTCTCTAGTGGGGTTTTCACCTGTAATGACTTCAGGGTTTGTTGACTTATAACATTGCACCTGGCCCCTGTGTCTACTTGTGTTCTTAATGTTTTGTTGTTCACTATACAACACACTGTCCAATCATCATTGAGTCTGTTTACTGGCAAGTCATTTTCCATTCCTACATACAAATCTGTCTCTCTAGCATCACTTGTACTGTCATCTGTGAGGTAATTCTCCACCACCTGTACTAACATTTTACTGTTCTTTTTGTTGTACTTTGGTTTCTCACTACGACATTGGCTCGCAAAATGATTCATCTTTTTGCACAGATTACACTTCTTACCATATGCAGGACATGTTGCTCCTTTGAATTTGTGTTCATACCCACACTTGTTACATTTCACTTCAGTTTTTTCATGTCTCTGTCTCGTACTTTGTGTATTTCTGCTCTTCTTATTCGTTGTTTGTTTAACGATGTGGACCTTGGGGTCCTCTTGACTAAACATACTTTTCAGCTGTTTCTGTGATATTTCGTGTGTCCTGGCTATATCCATTGACTTCTGTAGTGTCAGTTCAGAACCTTCATTAATAAGTTTTTCTCGAACTTTAGCTGACTTGACACCCAAGATTATGTGATCATGGACGATTTCATCTTCCATCTCAGGAGCATAACAGTGATGTCGAATGAGTCCAAAGAAATACAAACTAAACGCCTTTAATGAGTTCCTTTATTACATATACAAAGTTCCTAGTTCCTACAGCCATAGTCCACAATCATCACAAACACAGTGTAGGGGTTCTTGGTTGCACCTAGCTTGCGCCCCAACCTGCGGTAAAAAACTGAAAAATACAGAAATTAACCTGTCCTTAGTACATATTTTACCTTTAGAGCCACAAAACAAACATATTTCAACAAAATTAATCAAATTTCAAACGTTTAAACCGTATTAAAGTTACCTCATGGGTCACCTAAGCCTTGCCAAATTTGCATGTCTGTTTCCTTTGGACTTTCACGTAAACATATCCCATGATGCATTTTTCCACGACGTACAAAGAATGAACTCTGAACCCTGACCTGACTACCAGAGCGGACGGACAATATAAAACTAGCGTTTCACTACAATAACCACAGTCTTTAAATAAGACTCTCAAGTCTGTCATGGATTGTTCAAACGGTTCATCTTTAGACTGAACCCGGGACTTCAGCCGATACCGTGCAAATATTATATTTGACTTGGGTTCACAGTAATTTTCAAAGCCATTGAAGTACGTTTCGAGCTTTTTTCTTTCATCTGCGGTTACATTCCATGTAGAGAAGATGTTTCTTCCCTTTTCTCCAACCCATAGCATTAGATAATTACATTTTGGTTCTTCATTCTTACCAGCAAGCGGTCCACCAAATGTAAATTCACAATGAGTTTTGAATGCTTTGAATGCCGTCGGTAGGTCGTTTGATGACCAGTCCATTTTGGGGTATTTGTCCTGTTCCATCTTTTGACAATGATTTGACTTTATCCCGCTTCTGACACCATGTTACATACAAAGAACCACACCATATCTTGTTACAACAACATTCTATTCAGCCAGACGCTTGACATACATATTAACAATTACAAACACAGATGAGACCAAGACTAACGGGAAACACTATTGACCTGAACATGGACATTAAATGTTATTACACGACAAATGTCTCTACCAAGCTATTTTCATTATGGTCTTAGTAAATATGAAATTAAGTATCAGTTTCTGGTGTGATAAAAATCAACAAGAATATACAAACATATCATTATTTTCATGACCCAACCTCAAATTCAAAAAAACTATATGAAAAAAAAAATGAAAAAAAAAAAAAAAATGAACGGAGACTCCTGGAAAAAAACAGGGATAAGACCAGATGTAAACTAAATTCCACGAGGGTATGGAAAGCTCACTACACAGAAGAGTTCCATTTCAAGCATAGAATCACACGTTGATAGAAGCTCGATATCAGTTTAGATTAAAAGATACTCTCGTCAGTGTGATTATCGTTTATAAGCGGCGTAGTCATTGTACTCGTGGGTTAATACATAAAACTGAAAATCATCTGTTTGATTCCAAGATGACTGCGCCCAGTATAAATTTGTAAGAAATCATAACTTTAAAAGGTGTGTTGGTACCGCAGCGAGACACAAATTAACACTTAAATAACTTGACAACAGATCAAATTTTCTAACATTTGACCTTTTAAAGACATGCGTTAATTTTCTAACGACTAGACATGTTTCCCCTTAAGCATCCTGATTTTCTCTTCAGCACAAAATAACTTTAGTAAGTATGTGGATATCAAATATCTTCCTTCTATCGCATTTATTAAAATTTACTGATAAACGGTGTCTTGGCACGAAAAATATCTATATTAGGAAACATGTGTGGTAAGAAAGATAACGAACACGTGATATTTTATAATGAATACAGCGTTATTTTATGTCTGTACAACAGTGATCATTAATTTTGTTTTTCCTTTTTATAAACATTCCTGAAGCTTGTTTTGTTGTTTGTGTATTATGTCCTCATAACATCTGTGGTACAAACGAAAGAAAACCCAACTTCGAAATAAAATGGATCCGCTGAAGAAAGTCACAAGGAGAACGCACCAACAATGATAATTCATGTTAAAGCCAAGAGTCTGGAGAAAGATGTTGGGGCAAACTCTTCTATATAATGCGTTGAAACTGTTGAGCAACACAGCTGTGAGTCGGGTGACCGATTGGGAGAACTGTTCAATAAAGAACTAATGAGAGATCGACAGAAGAGAGCGAATGTTAATTCAGGGATGGAATTAGAGGGACAAAAACATTACATTTTTGTTAGAGAATCGGGACAAACGAGAAAAGAATTTAAACATTTAAGATGAAAATCAGAACTGTCTCAAAAAGAAGGTTAAATTTTCTGGAGAGAATAAAAACTTTCGCGAAGAGATGATGAAAATTCAAAAAGAGAATTAGAAATTTCGCGAAGGGCAGCTGAAATATCAAGGATATAATTTGAATTTTCGGGAAAAGAAGATGAAAATAACAGGACAAATGGCTTTTTATCTAGTGATAATAACGTTACTGTAAATACTTGAAATGAATTGGCTACTGCCCTTGATGAGATTATGCGAAATCATCGATAGGTCAAAATATCTAGATGTGAGAATGTTCGGATCGGAACCGGAAATGTGGAACAAATCAAACATAATTTGTAGCCAGTGTCTTCTATACTGGGCGATATGTGTGAACAGTACGAAGATATACAGGTAAACGTTTATTTGAAAACTACGTCTAGCAGCATCTAAAACTGCATACAATTAATTGCAAAAATGAACCTACTTAACTACTGTTAATTTCATATATTTTACAGTCCAATATTTAAGGTAACCATTTCTATTCACAATATGTACTTCTAAAAGAAGCAGTAACACAAACTGACTGATTTCCTAGAAACAAAAACTAAAACATCATACATCTGCTGAGGAGACAAATAAGTTAAGTAAAACCGAAAATAATTTACAAGAAAAAATGTTTATGTGTGATCTATGTCATTTGTCAAATACAAAACCATCTAGCAATATATGGGGACCGCCTGCAGTTCACGGTTCTGTTGTAAGCTCTCGTGTGATCCTGATTAAAAATGTAAAACAAATGATCTAGATACCCAGTCGCTTAAAAGAAGGTAATGTCCAACTCTCCGAATGCTTAATATGGAAAGTTAAATCTTTATCAATGCCATTGCTTAAATAGAAACGATTGTAAACTACGAATAATAGAACCAATTGATCATTACATACAATTAAAAACCAAATAAGGTTTTAGATTTATAAAACATCTTAATATGTACAAGTATATTGCATTCAAAAGGATAAAATAAAACTGAAAATCCGCAATTAAGATTTCTCTAATTTGTTATCATGTCAACCGAAATGAGTAAAATTTGATGACATACAGGTAATAATATAAGCGGATGAATATATGGATGGTAAGCTCAGACGCCAATGAGAATTCAACCTATAGCGCATAAAATTTCGCGTTGTTAACATAATATCCTAATTGGGAAAACGAAGGGACGTAACTCTTACACGCGTTAGCCGAAATCTGTGTTACGATGGGTAGATGAAAAAGGAGAAATCTGTGTTACGATTGGTAGACAAAAAAGGAGAAATGACCACGAAGTGCATTCATACTTATTTAAGATTTTTTTTCTTCTTTTTTTTTTTTTTTTTGAATTATGGTAAAATAACAATAATTCACAGTAATGGTCATGAACATGATGAGAGTATCTCAAAATGATAACTTAGATTTCAAATATAAAGTTTACAAAACTGAAACAGGTTGGAATCCACTCAAACAGGGAAGAGGGGAATCAAAGCTTACCACTTTCTACAAAATACAAAACAAAACCTTAGAAAGCTTAATACTACTTAATAGGCGTGACTTAAACATGGAGTTGAGAAATCCAGACAACTATCAAGTCCCCGAAGTAGTCTGGATATTATGAACAAGTCTTTCGTTCCGTCGTCTATAAATTTGTGGAATAATTTAGACAATCGGCTGTATCACTTAAACATTTAGAACCAAACAATTCCACATCCACTCTTCAGTTCATGATTATTTACATTCTAATAATCGATACCTCTCTGTTGTACATGGCCGCATTAGACATTCCTGTAGTGGCTTGCGTTCAGATTTATATAGGGTTGGCATTTGCCAATCCCCGAATTGTTCGTGTTGTGATGGAATTGAACACGTAAGTCATTATTTCCTTACATGTTCATTATTTTCTAATTGAAGACGCATATTGTTTGATACTTTGTGTGATTCAGGCGTAGATTTGAATATAGAGACTATCTTATGGGGCGACAGTGATGTTTACTCATTATAAATTAATTGTAATACTGTTAAATTTGTTCAAAGGTTTCTAAAACAAACAAAGCGTTTTAACACTACCTAATGATGAACTGTTTATAGTCGACACTGATTTTTTTCTCTTCTTTTCTTTCTATCTTATCATCTCATCTTCTCCTCCTTTTGACAAAATGATTTAAACTTACCATTGTACGTCTACGAAATACTTATCTTCATATTTATAGTATAAATACGTGTCACGTGCAGTATATTAATTATTTGTAATTTCATTTATGGAGAAGAATTCATAAGTTACTAGAACTTGTCTCTGATCCATTTATCTATTACTAATAATAAAATATGTTTAAATCACTTAGTAGATATGCCACACAACTAACCTACGATTACGACAACAAACAATAGATGATTAACTGGAATGCTGTGACGTAATTATCCTCGAATTATATTCGCCTTATGTGAGACCATACCATGTATATATTTTCTTATCAACATCAGTTTGTAATTCAGCCAGTATTGTGACCGACATCTTTTTGAATATATTTTTTCAGTATAGAACATATTTTCACAATGAACTTATTCATATATTCATTTTTATCATTAGACTTGAAATACAAGGGCTGATTGATAAGTTGTGAGCCTTGTATTGAAGAAGGTAATAAGACTTTCATCTATTTCCAAAATTCGGTTTGATGATTACGTCATACATGCAGTGGAGGACTTTCTGAACGGTCAAGAAAATTATTTTAAGTGGCATTGAGGCCATTTAACATCGT